AAGAGTTAACCACGTGCATCTGAGCATGTAATGAGTGCGCCTTTGTGTCTCTCCTCCTCCAAGGCAACCATAAACATCCTGTATGGGCCTGTGATTAAGGGCCAGACTAAATGTTCACACAGATACCCCACAGTCACACACCAGCTATGGGAATGGCTGTTTAAAAGTAAAGCAGAGCCTGTTTGGCTTCAGAACGCCATTCAGAGGGGGGGCCATCTGCCTCCCCCCCAACTGTTTTCCGTGCTGAAACTCAGAGGGGGGGCCATCTGCCTCCCCCCCCCCAACTGTTTTCCGTGCTGAAACAGTGCTGGAGGGGTAGATATTTCCCCATTTTTGCTGTTCCACGTGGAGTATCCTGTGAAGAGAAGAAGAGATTGGGTTTATAGCCCACCCTTCCCTCAGAGTCTCAGAGCGGCTTACAATCTCCTTTCCCTTCCCCTCCTCACAGCAGACACCCTGTGAGGTAGGTGGGGCTGAGAGAGCTCTTTCAAGAACAGCCCTTGAGAGAACAGCTCTGAGAGAACTTGTGACTGACCCAAGGTCACACCAGTAGCTGCATGTGGAGGAGTGGGGAATCAAACCCAGTCCTCCCAGATTAGAGTCCGCGCTCCTAACCACTACACCAAACTGTGCTTGTAGAACAGCAAAAACAGGGAAATAACTTCCCCTCCAGCACTGTTTCAGTGTGGAAAATGGGGGAAGTGGGGAGGCAGAAGCCCCTCCCCTGCCCATAGTGGTGTTCCAAGTCCAAGTAAGCTCTGCTTTATTTTTTAATAGCCATTCCTCACAGCTGCTGTGTGGCTGCAGGGAACTCCGGTTCCCCAGACCCAGTTCAAAAATACAAAAGTCTGTTTTGGCTCTACGGAAAAAGGCTTTCGGGTCATGGGCATTCATATCAGAAGAATACTGGGGGTGTCACTGATTGGAACAGAAGGCCTCCTAAGGTGAGATTGAACACCAAAGGGATAGGTGGAGTTCCAGTCACAATGTTGTACTCTTACCCAGTTGTGCATGCAATTATCACTTATAAGCCAGTCTTCTTTTTAACATCCTGCCAAGGGAACAGTTTCACTGCTCTTCTGCTTCCTTGGGTTTTGGTTGAGGCGCTGGACACAGACTAAATTTTCCAGTGGCAGAATGGAATCTTCCTGCCTCCCCCCTCCCACTGCAGCTCACTGATCGCCACAAAATGCCAATCCTGCGGGGTAGGGGATTCTGAAGAATGACACGAGGGGAAGTCTGCAGTGGGAAGGGGGAATTGGTGTCAATTGCCAATTTAGTCTGGATCCAGCCCCAGGAATGGAAGTGTACTGTAAACTCTGCTCACGGCTAGGGCAAGATGTTAAGAAAGGTCTGGATTACCAAGTGGAAACTATGTGTTACATTATCACTAACGCTGAAATGAATTTGGCCCCCTCCCCAAAAAATCCTCATCTGGCAAAAGCTTACTGTCAAATATGTTGCCACTATTCCCCATATGTTCCCCAACGAGCACTACGGTCCGGGACTAAACATCTCCTGGTGGTTACAGGTCCCAAAGAGGCCAGATTAGTGGCGACCAGGGCTAGGGCTTTTTCGGTGGCGGCTCCTACCTGGTGGAATGAGCTCCCAGAGGAGATCCGGGCCCTGCGGGACCTTGCACAGTTCCGCAGGGCCTGCAAGACGGAGCTCTTCCGCCAGGCGTTTGAGTAGGAGCCGCCACGACTGTTACCATCTGTCTACGACTATTACTATGGTATCTGTCCTAGCCCTTATTACCAACTCACCGTGAGTGCAAAAATGGTGGTACTGTGTGGAGCTGTGGCCACGAAGGATACCATCCTGATGACGTCATCGGTTCCCTTGTTAGTTGCTGTGGAGAGCACTTATGTTGCACAATGTTTTTAATATGCAGTTTTAATGTTTTATGTATTGGGCATTGGCCCCATCTGTACGCCGCCCTGAGCCCGTTCGTGGGGAGGGCGGGTTATACATTTAAATAAATAAATAAATAATAAATATTCCCTGATCACTTGCTGGGTGTTTACCGAATATTTGATATCTGTATTAGACATCCTGTAATTTCTAACAGTGTTGGATAGATGACAAAGATATTTAGGATCCAGGATCTTCATACGATGCAGCCACCTTGTTGAAACTAATCAGCCCCTGGTGTGGTTAGTGCCTGGATGGGTAATCCTTCCTGGGAATCCCACCTACAACCCCTTAGAATGCCGTGATGGAAAAAGGTAGCCCATAAATGAAACGAATAGTGTTGAATAGCATTTAATAGTATGCTAAATGCCATAGCATTTAGTATCTGATGACATTTAACGGATTACATGATAGATTGGCATGCAATAATATTTAGTATTTGATAGCTGACATTCAGTGGTATTACTCAACTTGCAAATAAACCTCCACATGTACAAACCGAGTTTGGAATCTAAAATGTCCTGTTCAGAATGTGAATGCCAGAAATGCAGATACTGAGGAATTCCAAGTACTTGTAAGTCCCCCCCCCCTTGGGCGGGGGGGGGGGGGGGGGCTTGTCAAATTTTGAGAGCAGCGGGCACCACCATGGAGTTTCTGCCAGAGGAGGTGGGACCAATCACAAGATGGCAGCCATGGAGGCAATAACAAAATGTTGGGAGGTCCCAAGCCAGGCATCCTCCTATGATGGGGTGAATGATACCTGAAAGGGGGGCTCCCTGCAGGCCCAAAGGTGAGGCAGAGGTGAAGAAAGAGATTTCTGCATGCTCAGGGGCACTCAGAGTATTCCAACACATTGAAAACCATTTGTAGAGCTTTCTTCTGTCCCCGTTAACTTATCCATCTGTTTGTTTCCTTCTCCATTAATGTCCTTCCATTCCCTCCCATTTTCCCACATAGTCTGTGAGTTGGATCTAGACTAAATTTTCCACAAATGGAATGGGAGGAGTGTATTCCCCCTTCCCCCCCGCAGACCCTTGATTTGCCTCTCATGCTGTTCCTGAGGGTCCCTTCCCCCCCCCCCAAGAGTAGCATTTTGGAGACATCACTGGGTAGCAGTGAGAGGGGAAAGGTCAAAAAGTTCAGTTCCACTAGCAGAAATGCTTTGTGTGAGCGGAATATTATCCCAACCCATTGCTTCTCCATCTCCCCACTGCACCCTCTTTTGCTATGCCATGATTAGCACCCGGGTGCCTTAGAACTTGGGACTATTCCTTTCAGCCCAGTGCAAGCCTGGCACCTAAAACCTTGTTTGCTAGAATGCCCAGGGATATCAAATATTCCAGTCCAGTCTCCATAAGCTTTCCCAGGGAGTCGGCGAGGACACCTGCTTCCTAACCCCGCTACCTCCGTCCTAGCTCATGTTTGCCCGGAACTGGTTTTTTATGCCATGATCGATGCCTTCTCTGCCAGTCTGGCACTTGCCTTGGGACCCTGGAAGCACATTGTGGTTTGCGTGCATGAGTTGCAGCTGCATCCTCTGTGTGTTCCCCTTCCCCGGAAGTGGCACAAAGCGCTGACTGTTGTGCGTGGGAAAGCCGAAGGGCTAAAGGGACTTCTCTCCGGAGAGCAGCTGATGATACGTGATGGGGAGGACCGCTTCACTGCCTGCCTTCTCTGGCTTTTGTTTTTAAGCTGTGGCCACACCGCTGCTTCCTGTCCTGAGACACGGTGGCCTGCCAGAATGTGCGTGCCGATCTAAGAGGGGGAACTTTCCTCAGATCTAATCTGATGAGAACAACTGGAAGTATGGGCCACATTCAGGTGTCACAACAGAATCCCGTTTGTTCACACGGGCTGTCATGACCCTGGGCCTATGGTGGTGTGGCCTACAGGGAACCTGTATTGGAGTAGCTTATCAGGGCCTACATTTCCCAGGTCCCCCATGGACCCTGTGATTGGGTAATGGGATTTGGAGGGGAAACTGCCCCAGCAGAGGAGTGGTGACTGGGGAGGAGGAATCAAAGGCCTTGCCCAAAGTGGGAGGGGGTTCTCTCTCAGGGAGCAGGGCTGGTGGAAGCTGCTGCAGAAAGAGGGATCCTTCATCCAAAAGGGGGTGAGTCACTCTGAGACCAGGTACCTAGAGAAGGCTTGGACAGTGTGGTCAGACGCCTTAGTATTTATTATTTTGCTGGTTTACCTACCTTTACTGTGCTCATTTTTCCTACATGTTTTGAACTGCAGTTGTTGTTAAATCTCTTTAATAAAACTAGTTTGTTACTCTGCCTGGGTCCTCACACCTCATTCGGTCACTTGTAAGGGGAAACCTGCAGGAACAGAGCATATAAAAGGGGTAGGGTGGGTGCTCTGGGCCCTCCCAAGAAGACCCATACCAGGGCGGTGGCAGCCATTAGAGAACCTTTGTAGCCGCTGCCCAAGACACGGGCATGAGCACAACTTGGTTCTCATACTCCTGCACTGCCTCCTGTCTCCCTGCCCCCCTCCCCAAGGGGTGGAATGTGACTGAAGGCTTTCTGCTTTGCAACACTTCCAGTCGAAGCTTCAGTTTGCCATGATGCCTGAATGGAAATTGCCCGAGTGAACTGGAGTTTCTTTCCTTGTGACCAATGGGATGTTAAACTGGGATTAAAAGCCCATTGTGGGAAGAAAACCAATTCTAGTTTGCCCCACGGGTCTGTGTTTGGATATCATCACCAACTGAAGTTTGACCGAAGGTTCCCCAAACCAGGAAAGCTTCAAGCGTGCTCCAGATGTATGGTAGAAGGAAGGGTGGGAAGCATAAAAAGAAGCCTGCCCGTCGCAAACTTGCTTGTTGAGACTTCTGAATGCTGCCATAATGGCTAAAAGTGAGAGCGCTGCAGTAGACAGAAGTCCCCAGCTAAAATCTTACCTCCTCAGACTACTGTGGCTTAGCAGTAAGCAAACTAGCTCAGTTTCCCCCATCAACACTGTGAAGATAATCTCACAGGGCTGTTCTGAAGCACTCTGAACACTTGGAATATGCTATATAAAAGCTAACTATTGTAGTTCTGTGATTATTGTTAATCTGACTTGCTTTCTTTCCTCAGAAGCCGTTGCAAACAGCCAGGAATGGACCCTCGGCCGCTCCATCCCCGAGCTCCGACTGGTAGGTGTCTGTAGCTTACAAATGTACCAACCGGTGTTCTGCCCAGAAAATACACGTTCCCCTTGCAACATCGCACATTTGCATGATATCACCAAGGTGGTTTCATGCGATTAATTCACATGAGTGGCTTTATGTTGGATAATGCCTAAAAAGGTAAAGGTAAAGGTTCCCTTGCTCGAAAGCCAGTTGAGTCCGACTCTAGGGTTGTGGTGCTCATCTCCGTTTCAAAGCTGAAGAGCCAGCGCTGTCTGAAGACGTTTCTGTGGTCATGTGGCCGGCATGACTAAACACCAAGGCGCACGGAACGCTGTTACCTTCCCACTGAAGTGGTACCTATTTATCTACTTGCAATTTCTTGCTTTCGAACTGCTAGGTTGGCAGGAGCTGGAACTAGAGACGGGAGCCCACTCCATCATGCGGCAACCTGGGTCTCGAACTGCTGAACTACTGACCTTCCACAGCCTGCAGTTCAGCTTAGTACAAAACAGCCTTGTAAATACTGTGGGTTCTGAGAGGGCCTGAGGCTCTGAACTGTGGTTGGGTAACAGTTCTGTCCCCTTCCCGTAGTCCTTCCTATCTTCCTAGTTACCACCTCGTTAACTGGGCTTTCTCAGGAGTTTCTGTCTCACCGCAAGTGCCTTGTAGTGATCATGGAGATAGTGGACAATGTTTTGAGGTGAAATGTGGAACTCTGAGGGCACCTGAAGTGTCCAGAGAGGCACAGACCATGCCTTGTCTAGCAATCACCCTGTAATGATCTTTCTTCTCCATCTTCTTCAGGGTGTTCTTGGGACTGTCAAGAGTGGGAAATCGGCGCTTGTTCATCGTTACCTGACTGGCTCCTACTTGGGCCTGGAACCGGCTGAGGGTGAGTTGTCTTCCTTTCCCTGCCCCCAGAATGGACCTCCCTTTCTGCCCCCTCCCTCACCACCTGTACACACCTTTCCTGGAAAGTCAGCCTTTCTCCATTTCTCACCACGTTTGGGAAAGGAGAAGTGACAAAGGAGAGCAGACAGGCAAATAGGAAAGGTTGCCTCGCGGTACGGAGACCCCCCCCTCACCTCACCTCACCTCACCTCCCACGTCTCAGATGATCCTTCTGCACCACTGCCGTCCCCACCTTCCCCCCCCATCACAGCCACCTCCTCACTGCTTTCTCCTCTCCTCTCCTGTTTTTCCCCCCCAGGGGGCCAGTTCAAGAAGGAAGTGGTGGTGGATGGGCAGAGCCATCTGTTGCTGATTCGTGAGGAAGCAGGGCCTCCGGATGCCAAGGTGATGCTCTCTTGTCGATCGGGAGGGTGCAGCAGGCAAACCACCCCGTCCCTTTAGCATTTTGGATGGTCGCTGTTGTACAGCTCATGCTGCCTTTTGAGTTACAGTGCATATTTACACTATGGAGAGACAGTCCCTCTTCCCAGGGAACTCTGGGGATTGCAGTTCTGATGGGAGTGGGAGCAGGGTTGTAGGCCCTGCCCCCTTTCTCTGCCCTAATCAGAAATCATCCCTCCCTATCCTGTATGCCACTGTATTGTTACGCTATGATACCATAATAATTTTGAGTGACACTGAGTGTTTAAGAGTTGGCTAAGATACTTATTTCTATGCTCCCATTTTCATTTATTTTTATTTTTTTTACTGCCTGCTACTTCTTTACTTTATTCTATTTATAATGGAGTCTGTCCTGGGCAGCCAGCAGAGAGGTTCTGGTTTCTTTTCTTTGGAATACAGACAATATCACCCACCCAGTGAGCAGCCAAGCTGCTATCTATTTCCAGAAATGCAGGCCTTGGCTCCCTCTCAAAAGATGTTTGCACAGCTCACAGGGCCTTACTGCATGCTACGGTTTCCCTGGGAAACTGTCAAGTAGCCATACCACCTAACCTGCAAACCCCGGTGGGGCAAATAGTGCTCCCCAAGGCTATTCAGGTTGGGGAAACAGCATGGGGGGGGATCTAAACCATTTTCCCCAGGGTGCCACACTCATCTGAATCAAGGCCCTGCACGCCTGGGAAGCGCGGGGCTCCCAAAAGGTGTGTGCGACTCGAAGGATCATACCCAGGGAAGATGTTTTGTATAGTTAGGCCCACATGTGATGAGACTCGGGCCTCCGGAATTTTGGTGGTGTTGGGCTAACCCTGGCCAGGGATCTCTAACAGACGGTGAAAGTGTTGGATCCCAACAATAACGGAAAAGGGGAACGGGTTAGTTTTTGCCAATTCCCACTTCCACTGCATACCTCTGATTTACCCTCATGCTGTTCCTGTGCGGCCCACTGTCCCCCAAACAGCAGCATTTTGGACAGATCAATGAGTGGCAGCCGGTGGGGGAAAGCAGGGAAGTTCCGTTCTGCTACCAGAAGCAGCTGCTGAAAAAAACAAACAAACATTGATGTGGGTGAAGAGTCTCCTAGACCGGAGTAAGGACAACATCCTCTCGTGTTCCTGGTTCCATCCTAAATGTATATAAACACCCTCACCAGAGAGAGCATCTCTTGTTGACCGCTTTTCCTTCCCTTGCAGTTTGCCAATTGGGCAGATGCTGTGATCTTTGTCTTCAGCCTGGAGAATGAGGCCAGTTTCCAGGAGCTGTCACAGTATTATGGGCTCCTTACCACCTACCGGGCAGTCTCTGACATGGCTCTTGCACTTGTGGGCACACAGGGTGAGTGGCGTAAAGGAGACATTATTCTGGGGACCATAGGGGGGCAGGTACCAGGACCCTTAACACAAGGGAGCTCTAGAAGGGGGAGCTGTGTATTATAATTCCACATCACCCGGTACCAAAAGAGAACAGATTTTTATTAGAGTATAGGGAAGGCCTGGACTGGGTCCTCCTAGAACATAATCAGCCACTGCCTGTAACAACCATAACAAGTAAAACTAATGCAAAGGCTTTTTCCCTATGGGATCATGTTAAAATAACTATATAAAACAATAAGGGAATGTTCCTAAATTCACAGCTCCCCATGATATAACACTGGGCAAAAACTTTCAGTCAAAGGCTCTACATAGGCGTTACCTTCCCCTGAGTCTTAATGAGCCTTACAGTTAACCAGGGCTATTTTGGGGCAGGAATGCACAGGAACGGAGTTCCGGCTGGCTCCCAAGTTGGCCATGCCCAGCAGGAACTCATTAGCATAATAGGCCACACCCAACAGCAGAAACTCATTAGGATTGGCTACATTAGGGGTGTGTGGCCTAACATGCAAAGGAGTTCCTGCTACAAAAAAGCCCTGGGTTTTGACAACAAACAAGGTAAACAGAATAAGAAGCAAAAGGTGGGTGTGGCTGGATGACCACACTTCTGGTAAAATGGGGGTGCAGCCTAATGTGCTAATGAGGTGTGCTGTCAGGGGTGTGGCCTAATATGCTAATGAGTTCCTGCTGTTGGGTGTGGCCTATTATGCTAATGACTTCCTGCTGGGCTTTTTCTACAAAAAGAGCCCTGCAGTTAACTGTTGTTTTACACTCAGAGTGAAAAAGGATTTAAAAAAAGGATAGCTTTTTTCAGGGGGAAAGAGGTACCTTTTCATAACATATCTGTGTTTGAGTTGGGGATTCTGAGCTCTGTTGCCTTTAAGACAACTTACAAAAACCTGAAAATAATATTGCCCGTCTCTGATAATCTTTATATCTAACTAGGAAAAAGGCCCGTTGTGGAAATAAATACAACGGCCTCTAGAAAGAGGCTCTGGGCGGGTGCCCCGGCCTTGAACACTCAGTGTCAATTTGCTGTGGCGACCTCAGCAGGGTATAATGACACTGAGTCCACCATTTTCTCCAGAGGAACTGATCTCTGCTACCTAAAGAACAGTTGTAATTTTGAGTGATCTCCAGCCCTCACCTGGAGATTGGCAACGATCGTTCCCTAGAAGGGATTGGGGAATAGTTGGTTTGGAGGGTGGAGTCTATGGCTTTGTACCAGTCCGAGGTCCCATGCCTCCTGAAACCTCACCCACACCAGGCTCCATCCCTCATATTTCCAGGAATTTCCCACCTGGAGTTGACAACCCGATCTCCTTCCCAGCCAATCATCAACCTACCTTTATTTTCCCTTCACTCTTCACCTTTCCACACCCCCCCCCACACCTGCAGCCTCTCCTGTGCTCTGAAGCCCTGACTGCTACATCACATTGGCTGTCATACGGGGGCCACCTCAGCAACATATAAGGATACAGACTCCACCATTTTCTCCAGGGGAACTGATCTCTGCCATCTGTAAAGCAGTTGTAATTCTGAGTGATCTCCAGCCCTCACCTGGAGATTGGACACATTTTACCTCAGAACAGCAAACTGTTTAGAATGTTAGAGGCAACAGCCAATCAAATCGCATATGCAAACGACCTCTGTGTTCTGAGGCAAAGGCCAATGAGGCTGCATATGCAAATAACCTCTGTGTTCTGACTGGCTATGGGGGGAAGAGGAACAGCAAAATGTTTAGAATGTTGGAGGCAGGATTCAGGCAAAGCAGCCAGTGGATAGGGAGACCCTCTGAATGACAGATCAGAGAGCGAACTGATTTTGGAGCGTGTGGAATGTTCTAGAGAAGTGCCACCACCATTCGGCTATTATTTATAAGGGAGATAGCCAAGGTGTGGCCCCTTGTGTATTCAAATAAATACACAATGGGGCCAGCACTGGAGAGGGGTTTGAATACTCTGTGATCAATATGTAACGTTGCAGTGCTTCAGTTCTGTAACAACAAAGCTGGATTCTGTGCACCTACAAATTTCTGGGCATTTATTTTGTATAATGTTTTCTGCTTAGCATGGAGAGAGCCACAAATAACACCCACCAAGTAAAGACCATCAACAATTCACAACTATATTATATTACATTCATTAAAGTACAAAGATGGGTTAGTGGTCATAACCCAGTAGAATGTATAAGCACATATCCAACAGATTGCTCATGACAAAAAGAGCATGTTCAAAATCAACAGACCATTGGTCCATCATGTCAGTATTGTCTATTCTGACTGGTGGCTGCTCTCCAGGATCTCAGGTGGAGGTCTTTCCCATTGCCTACTTCCTGATCCTTTTAACTGGAGATGCTGGGGATTGAACCAGGGACCTTCTGCATGCCAGGCAGGTGCTCTGTCACTGAGCCATGACCCTTCCCTGTTATGCAAGATGCTAAATTTCTGCCCCTCTTTAACCACTGGAAATCTTGCTCAGCCCGTCTGTGGCTTTTGAGTTTCCATCAGCTTTCATTGCCTGCATACTTTCAAGCCTATTTTTACAATGTTAAGGGCCAGAAACTTTATTTAAAAAAACCCTTACCAATGCTAATTGCACCACTTTCACAGTGCATTCATGGAATGCATGTCCTCCAGATTGTTACACAGCTGGACTGAACCTCCTTTTGAAGCTGGGAATTCCATTGGTATTCAGGATATCTGTGGCCTCTTATTTAAACTCTTTATATCTGTCTGACCAGACACTCCAAGCGACAACTAATTGGGGGGGGGATGATCTATATCTGTTAAAAAGCTTAAACATCAAAATGCAAAAACATAAAATTAACAGCAAAGATCAAGCGATGACAGTCAGAATCAATCAAAACTGTCAGCCAGTTGAACAGAGTATCAGACAGAGATATTAGATAACCAATAATATCAGCTAAGGGTCCCCCGAGGTTCTCTTAAAATGCATCGCTTTAGCCTGGCACTAGAAAATTGTGGGGAGGGGGGTAAGAGGAATCTCCCATTGGGAAAGGAATTCAGTGATCTTCGCAGTTCTCTTGAGAAGGCCTTTTCTTAGCAATGACCCAGTGCCCTGGCATGTGCCAAATGCTGGACCAGGGGATGACTCAGGTAAGCCTCTGTTGGATCCTGTCCAAGACTCAGGGCAATGGAAAACTGATCCAACAGGGCAGGTTGCAGGGGAAGCAAAGTTAAATGCTAAGCGGTTTATTAATTGGTCATCTAGATCAAGGCGCTGATGGGAAGAATCAATGCAAAATCAAGAGGGCAGCTGAGGTCAGGAACCAGAAAAATCTGTCAAAGGGAGCGGAGAACAGCAAAGGCCGAGGCACCGTCCTGTAATAGCTCAGGCTGTGCCTACTCATAGCCCCGATGGAGGAAACTAATGTGCCAAATTTGGACAGTGCAAAGCCATTAAAAACCAACCAACCTCGGGTCTCTGATTCAGTGGCAAGTTCAGAAGGGTCAGTAAACAAGAAGAACCGTGTGGCGTATGAAACTGTTTTTCTGTGAATGAACTTGGCATGGAAATAGTTCAGACTGGGTGGAATGATGGCTAAGATCTTAGTTCAGTTCCCTAGGGGGACAAAGGGCCAAATTAGATTTAGGGGGCAATCCATACGTAATTTATTCATGTATCATTATATTCTTTTTTTTTAAGTACCTGAGGGTACACTTTTATTGTTTTTGTTAACATTATATACTACAAACATACAGACAGACAACACCCAACTACCCCCAACATCATATAACATGTAACAAGAGACTTTTATCACTTCTTCTGCTTATTAAATTTCTAAATTCATTATCTATTTTGCTAAGCTTATCTGTTCTACGTCCTCAAATTACTACATTTATCTATCAGTTGCGTTTACACGGGAATATAATGATATATGCATTTACGCAACGCAAATGTAAACGCATATATCATTATATTCCCGTGCTTTTACCTAAATCTAGTTGGGGGATGAATAAAAAAGAGCGCAGCGGTGAGAATAAGGCCATCTCCATCTCCTACCTCACCTCTCTGTGCTTTGTCTTTTGAGGCCTGTTCCTTGCAGCCTGGCTCAGGCCCAAACGAGACGTCACGTCTGCCTCATGGCCAACATGGAGACTTGAAGGAAACGATCCTGATCTGCTGCAGTCGCCCTAATCAGATTTGCTTCTGTTCCCAACCACCCCACCGGCACTGTTTTCCCAACTCAAAGTGGCCTGGTGGGCATTACTTGCCTCTTAATGGGGGGGCACACATATTCAGTGCAGATGCAGCCCTCCCGTGGGGCATATAATACCCCCTTGGGGGTATTTTGGTTTGGGAAAACCCCACGGGGGAGGTTGAAGCTGTGTTTGCCCCTGAGCTATGGTCCTGAACCTGATTGGGCCCCTGCAGCAGATCAGGATGGAGTCCCTGTGAAGAACTTGCAGCTCCCAGTCTTCATGACAGGAACCGAGTTAGAAGTAATGTCTCGTTGGGCTCTCAGTTCCTATTTTAGGAGACGTTGGGGGAGTGCAGCTTGAAACAACAGAGCTTGTGGTGGCATGGTGGGGAATAGGATTTAGCGTCTCTTGCCTTTCTGCTCCATTTTCTGTAGCTTGTTGACTGATGCACTCCCCTTCTCTGCTCACTTTACATACAAATGGGGAGATGTGAATGGATTCCTTCTTCTTAAGCTAGATTCAGGTGTGTAGCCCTGTTGGTCTGAAGCAGCAGAACAAAGTTTGAGTCCAGTGGCACCTTTAGGAACAAAGTTTTATTTAAGGTGTAAGCTTTCGTGTGCAAGCACACTTCCTCAGTGTGCTTGCACACGAAAGCTTACATCTTGAATAGAACATTGTTGGTCTTAAAGGTGCCACTGGTCAAACTTTGTTCTTCTTCTTAAACTGTTTTTTGTGGTCTGCTTCTAATTCAAAGGTTTATGAGTGCCACTGGATGCTGCTTTTACATCGTGCACGAATACTGATCATTTTTAATGGTTGTTTTGTTATTTTGTTGTATTGTTTTTACTTTGTGAGCCACCCCAAGAAGGTCTCTGGAGAGGCAGTGTCTACACTTTCGAAATAAATAAACATGAGCAAATACCATACGGAATCCATACATAATCTGTCACATCTCTGTTGACAGGGTGCAAGATTCCTTGCAATGGGGAAAAGGAAATGTTTATAAATAGTACATAGGAGAATCTGAAGACAGTTTCACAATACGTGTTATTTTGGTTGGTCTTGATAAAGGTATTTCCTTTTATTAGCTGAATAGGAGGTATTTACATGGATTTTGGTTTTGCTTTTGCTACGGACCAATATGACTACCAAAGTTTTTCATGCATACGAGGTGAGTCAGTCACCCTTATTGTAAATGGGATAATGTTCGTTTTTGCCCACAGCAGATTCTGTTGCACAGCTGGATTGCTATTGTGTTTTGTCATTTTGTTAAGAACGGACAACAATTCAGTAAACCTGTCAGGCTGGTGCACATATGTCCAGCTCAAAATGCAGAGGCTCTGTTCTGTCTCCTTACAGATAAGATCAGCGCCAGCAACCCACGTGTGATTGAGGATTCCCGAGCTCGGACTCTGTGCACTGAAATGCGCCGTTGCCTTTACTATGAGACATGCGCTACTTATGGGCTCAATGTCGACCGTGTCTTCAGTGAAGGTGAATGTCTCCCTGGGGTGTATCCTTGATTCTTTAGTGGGGGAGAGGCAGAAGCTCGGACATCTTGGCAACATACAGTGCTAAGAAGCTAAGAGAGGCTGTATTTCAGGGTGTTTTCTGACGATCAGCTCAGGCAGTCCTCCTTAGTGTATAATCCCAACATGCAGTGGACAAAGGAGGAAGAGTCTGTGTACCATCCTCTGCTGGTGCAGGTCATCGTGCATTACTGATTGATACTCACATGCACATGAGAGCCAGCTTGGTGTAGTGGTAAAGAGCAGCAGACTCTAATCTGGAGAACCAGGTTTGATTCCCCACTCCCCCACATGCAGCCAGCTCGGTGATTTTGGGCAAGCCACAGTTCTCTCAGAGCAGTTCCCTCAGAGCTCTCTCAGCCCCACCTACCTCACAGGATGTCTGTTGTGTGGAGAGGAAGGGAAAACAATTGTAACCTGCTCCGAGGCTCCTTCATGTAGTAAAGAGCAAGGTATAAAACCAACTCTTCTTCTTCTTCTTCTTCTGCACTCTTGCTCTTTTCTACTGCCAACAAGAGGGGAGAGTGTTTGATTTTAACCTGTCCCCGCTCCCTCTGCTGCAGACTTCCAATTTGCCCCTCATCCTGTTCCTTGGGTCCCCTTTCTCTCAGAAGAACGTTTTTGGAGTGATCAGTGGGCTGCGTCTGGAGGGCAGGGCAGATAAAGGAGTTCCATTCCAGTAACTCAAGTGCCTTCTGTTATCAGAAATGATTGGCAGAACGGCCATTTATATGTAACCATCACTTGTCTGTGGTAGTAATTGCAAAGGGGCTGCCGTGTCAGTCTGTTGCATGCTCCTTAAAGACTAACAAGTATTCCAGCTTAAACCTTTGTGAGTCAACACTCGCTCCACCAGATGCATTGCAGTGCATGTCCATGGGAGATACATGGACCCTTGGCGTTCTGCTCTTTGTTTCATTTTTATTGGTTTAAATTTGCTTCTTGGTTTTTTTTCCCCCTATGCTCTTTGCTGCTGTGTTTTTTGTTGCTTCTTTAGAACTCTTAAATTTATATTTTGTTGTTTTAAATGCGTTGCATTACCCTGTGGCTAGCTGGTCTGGATCTGGAGAGTCTGCAGGTGGGGTTTATGAAATAACCAAATAAAGACACAGAAATTATGGCTAGGAGGGTCCAGGGCTATTTTTGGGCAGGAACGCACAGGAACGGAGTTCCGGCTGGCTCCTGAGTCGGCCATGCCCAGCAGGAACTCATTAGCATAATAGGCCACACCCAACAGCAGACACTCATTAGGATTGGCTACATTAGGGGTGTGTGGCCTAACATGCAAAGAAGTTCCTGCTACAAAAAAAGCCCTGGGTTTTGACAACAAACAAGGTAAACAGAATAAGAAGCAAAAGGTGGGCGTGGCTGATAACCACACTTCTGGTAACATTGGGGGTGTGGCCTAATATGGTAATATGCTAATGAGTTTGTGCTATTGGGTGTGGCCTATTATGCTAATGGGTTCCTGCTGGTCTTTTTCTACAAAAAAAGCCCTGGGAGGGTACATGTGAAAAGATGTCCTCCCCTCTGTGTATGGAGTCTGTACAAACTGCCTAACCCTGACTCCTGCTGTTCTCTGGCAGTCCCATCCTGCCTATCAAGAACTGAGGCCGGTAGCCCTCACAGTTTAGACAGGGTACTGTTGGCTCCCAGACCAACTGTCATTTATGCTGGAGTGGCTGTAGTGGCAGGGATCAGCCTCTGGGTCCAGCAAACGCAGGCCTTATATAACATTTTGAGGCCATGGTGGACATCATGTCTCTGCAGGCCAGGCATGAAGGCTGTTGACATGGAAGGAGACCCTGGCTGTCTCGCGCGAAAGCATCTGGGTTTAGTCTCAAAGAGGCCAAGCCTTTCTTCCAGTATGCATCCGGAAGTGGGGTGGCCGCTTCCACGTGGGCGTGATACCATGCAGTAGGGGAGTGCGCGCAAAATAGCACAACTGCACGGATGGAGATGTTTGTATTGGTCTAACTCAGGGGTGGCCAAACTGCGACTCTTTCACACATATTGTGCGGCTCCCGGCAGAGTGGCCGAGGAAGCGAAGGGGAGGCACGTCTCCCCGATCGGTCTTCCCTTCCCCAGCCAGTGTTCCCCTCCCTGGGTAGGCTTGAGGTTGGGGGGGGGGGCAGAGAAAGAAAGCAACTTTAAATGCATTCTCAAAGCCCTGCCCACCATCCAGCTTAGGAGAAGGCGTCTCTTTAAACCCCTTTGCCAAGCCAGCCAGCCCCCGGGGGGAGGGTCTTGGAGGATGCGTTTAAAGTTATATCTGTTTTTACCCCTTCTGGCCCTCCTTCCCATCTGTTTTCTTTCTTTCCACCTCCCTTTCTCTTAGACAAAATATTATTAGTAAGCAAATAAATATCATTGGACAAATAAATATCATTATCAATAACCGGTTTTGTTCTTATTTCTGGCAGTCTCATTTCATGTTAAGCAAGTTTGGCCATCCCTGGTCTAACTGGTACCCTCCGAGCAGGGTGCTGATTGTATGGGAAAGACCCATAGAAACAACCCCTCCTGCTCCTGGAGATATGTATTTTTTTTTCCCATGCACTCCCCATGCTACAGACTCACAGCTCCTGGAAGGGGCTCCCAGCCTTGTGAATGAGGCGGTCCAAAACAGGTTCTCTCTGAGTGTGACCTGGCCATGACGGTGTTCATCTCAAAGGAGGAGGTGTGGGGGTGTGAAGGCTCAGTGCCTGTGGGACTTGCATGTCCTTGGGAGTGTAACCATGATGATCCTGTATGGGTTTGGCAGTGATACAGTCAAACCCCAGAGTTCATTTTGTACAGTTAATGACACAGGGTTGTATATGAACTGAGGTGGGTTCAGGGGCTGGAGGATCTTAGCATCCCCTTGATTTATCTGTGACTTCCTTCCTTTGTCTCTACTCCCTACTTCAGTTGCCCAGAAGATTGTGAATATGAAGAAACAGCAGCAGCTCCTAGCGTCTTGCAAATCTCTGCCAAGCACACCCAGCCACTCAGCAGTCTCCACCCCGGTAAGTGGAATCTACTCGGTCGAAGTGTAAACGGGAAAGGGGCATTAAGGGATCAGCTGACCAAGCGTTTGCCTGAGCATGTCCTTTCTGCAGTGCAGTACCTGAGCCTTCCTGGAATTATAATCCTGATGTTAAAAATTGTAATAAAGGAGTCGAGAGGCGAAGCATCTTGAAATACACCCTGATCTTGTCTTATGCCTCAAACATAACACAAATGTCCTTGATAAATGTAAATATTTCTATATCATTATTTCTTTCTTATTAACTTTCCAAAATAAAAAAATCTATTATAAAAAAAAGAAAATGGGAGGCGCTCCAGGAGCAGTGGCCTGTGCCACTGTGGGCTGTGTGTTTAATCCCTGCTGGCCCCCATGGAGAGGGACTAATTTGTGCAGTGATACAGATGCAGTGATGTGGCACGAGATAGTTGGTTTGGACCAGTGCAGGGCTTCTGTGCAGACCCCAAACCTGGCCATGACGGTGTTCATCTCAAAGAAGGAGGTGTGGGGGTGTGAAGGCTCAGTGTCCGCGGGACTTGCATGTCATTGGGAGTGTAACCACATGACCCTGTATGGGTTTGGCAGGGATACAGTCGAACCCCAGAGTTCATTTTGTACAGTTAATGACACAGGGTTGTATATGAACTGAGGTGGGTTCAGGGGCTGGAGGATCTTAGCATCCCCTTGATTTATCTGTGACTTCCTTCCTTTGTCTCTACTCCCTACTTCAGTTGCCCAGAAGATTGTGAATATGAAGAAACAGCAGCAGCTCCTAGCGTCTTGCAAATCTCTGCCAAGCACACCCAGCCACTCAGCAGTCTCCACCCCGGTAAGTGGAATCTACTCGGTCGAAGTGTAAACGGGAAAGGGGCATTAAGGGATCAGCTGACCAAGCGTTTGCCTGAGCATGTCCTTTCTGCAGTGCAGTACCTGAGCCTTCCTGGAATTATAATCCTGATGTTAAAAATTGTAATAAAGGAGTCGAGAGGCGAAGCATCTTGAAATACACCCTGATCTTGTCTTATGCCTCAAACATAACACGAATGTCCTTGATAAATGTAAATATTTCTATATCATTATTTCTTTCTTATTAACTTTCCAAAATAAAAAAATCTATTATAAAAAAAAGAAAATGGGAGGCGCTCCAGGAGCAGTGGCCTGTGCCACTGTGGGCTGTGTGTTTAATCCCTGCTGCCCCCATGGAGAGGGACTAATTTGTGCAGTGATACAGATGCAGCGATGTGGCACGAGATAGTTGGTTTGGACCAGTGCAGGGCTTCTGTGCAGACCCCACACCTGCTTTGCGCATCAGGCCTTCTGAAGCTCCTCAGCTGCCCCTGACAACAGCCACCATGGAGTGGACTCTTGTCCCCATCTCCCTCCAGTCTGGCAGTTGCCACCAACAATTTCCCCTGTCGCTTGAGAGCCAGTTTGGTGTAGTGGTTGGGAGCACGGGCTCTAATCTGGGAGAACTGGGTTTGATTCCCCACTTCTCCACATGCAGCTGCTGGTGTGGCCTTGGGTCAGTTACAAGTTCTTTCAGAGCTGTTCTCTCAAGGGTAGTTCTCGAAAGAGCTCCCTCAGCCCCACCTACCTCACAGGGTGTCTGTTGTGGGGAGGGGAAGGGAAAGGAGATTGTAAACTGCTCTGAGACTCCTTTGGGTGGTGAAAGGCAGGGTATAAATCCAATCTCCTCCTCCTCCTCCGCTGCCTCCTCCTCCACCTCTTCTTCTTCTCCTCATCGTCCTCCTCCTCCCTGAAATCACCACCACCACCACCCTGCCTGTTAGACGGCAACTGAGGCTTGTTCTCCCATGCAGCAGATGAGGTGGTTAAAAACTGCTCCCACCCTATATTACGTCAGGCTGCAGGTGAGGGGCTGTATGATTGAGTACTCTTCTGTGTGCTTAAAAAAATACATGCCCCACACATAGAAAAGTATTACCAGTTTTTTGGCTAGTTCTCTGTATACAGTGATTTCTCTCCCCCTCCCCCATTTCAGACATAGGACACACACACACCGCTTTCAGCTGCAGTCTGAGCCAGTGTGGTCCAGGAACACCTCTTGTGCTGTTGCTGTACACCAAGCCTCTATCCTTTCCTTGGGTAAGGGGGCTGGTGTGAATCTTCCTCAATTCTTTCCTAGGCAAGTAACGGCGGACACACAAGTGACTACTCCTCATCCCTGCCTTCCACACCCAACATCAGCCATCGAGAGCTGCGGGGAGAAGCCTCGGCCCTCATCGGCACACCGAGCTCTCTGCATCGTGGGACCAAACGCAGGACCAGCCTTTTCACTGTGAGTCCAATGGGAGTGCAGCGGGATTGGCAAGCGGGGAGAGGAAGCCAGGAGGGTCAGCCCAGTCCAGAAAAAAAGGCCTCTTGAATCTTCTGATCAGCAATTGTAAAGCCATTAAACAAATCACAGTCACTGCAAGGAAGCATTAGGGGCCAGCAACAGTTTGTGTCCTTTCTCTGTCTTTTTCTCCCCCCTCCCTTCCCCCCCCCCAATATCTAAGCCATAGGATCTGATGACAAGGGCAAAAGCATCTAGTACCCAGGCCTTTGTATCTTCGAGAGTTCCCAGCTTGGTATCCTCTAGAACCTAAATGGAGCATCCAGTACTGTGACAACCATGTTGGGTCAAAGCAGTGATTTTCACGCTGTGTTCCACAGAGTGATTAGAAGCTTATCAGGGGTTCTGCAATGAGGACCTCAGGAATGATGGATGAGCTTTTCAAGACCAGTGTGCTTGCCACCACTGATTTTCTCCTGCAGTGTGGAGCTGCAGGGCAGCCGGTTTCAACCCATGGGTCAGGGCTGTCGGGGGAGTCACAGATCCCCATCTGCTGGGTATTTATACTATCCGTTATTTTGCTGATTCATGCTGTTGGTGCACATGCCTGGAGAGCAAGGGTGCCGCACTTCCTGCTCCTCTTTGCATGCACAAACAGCAACATGGTGAGGCGAGGTCACTCAGTGGCAGGAAGGATTCCTTTCCCCTACTTGTCACATGTTTGCAACCCATTGGGTCCCAGGCTGCTGCCTGGGGTTTAAAAGTGGGCCTCAGGGTTGGGAAGGATTGAAGATCAGTGTTGTAGGCAATGTTCCCTCTAAGCTGTGGAGTCTTGTGAGCAAAAATTCTACTTTATGAGCTACTGGCATTAAAGTTGTGAGCGAGCGATTGGGCTGCTGCTTAAATTAATTTGCTCTGGAGCCACCCTTCCTGAGCGAAGACAAAAACCTGTGAGCCGGAGGCTAAAAAGCTGCGAGCTACCTCACACTAACTCAGCTTAGAGGAAACCCTGGTTGTAATCGTAGGAGATCTCCAGGTGCCACCTGGAGGTTGGCAGCAATGTTCCCTCTAAGCTGTGGAGTCTTGTGATCAAAAATTCTACTTTGTGAGCTAGTGGCATTAAAGTTGTGAGCGAGCGATTGGGCTGCTGCTTAAATTAATTTGCTCTGGAGCCACCCTTCCTGAGCGAAGACAAAAACCTGTGAGCCGGAGGCTAAAAAGCTGCGAGCTACCTCACACTAACTCAGCTTAGAGGGAACACTGGTTGTAGGGTGCAGTTTCAGTTCACATGAGGCTGTAAAAAAAGCCCCAACAGGCCTGGGTCTCAGGTCTAAAATTTCTCCCAGAATCCTCTGTGGCACACAGGGATTCCTCAGCTCACAAACGGTGGTGGGAATAATTTCCTGAAGAAACCACTGGCTTTTAAGGCACTGCACCATTTCAGCTTATCTCTCTGCGTCTCTTGACAGAATCGCAGGGGGAGTGACACAGAGAAACGGAGCCTGGACAGCAGAGGTGAAAACACGGGGAGTGGCCGAGCCATACCCATCAAACAGGTGACCTCATAAACTCAGAGCCATTTGTCAGTTCTGCCTCTTAAAGAAGCAAAAAGGGACAAAGCCCTGGCGTCCTTGCTCACACCTGTTGCCTCTCCCCTCAGAGTTTCCTACTGAAACGAAGCGGCAATTCTCTGAACAAGGAATGGAAGAAGAAATATGTGACCCTGTCCAGCAACGGACTTCTCTTCTACCACCCCAGCATTAACGTAAGTGCACCAAGGCCTGAGCCCTGGGAGAGATGGAAGGCATGATAAAATGACAACATCTCTGGCCCTTGCTTGTATGACAGAGAACGAGGCATTTTATTCCACTTGCCCAGATCACAAGCAGCTAGACCACAATGAGGAGTTCATCACTCCCAGCTCATCCCTCTCCTTCTCTTTCACGAAGAGGCTTTACTGTCCACTGCCACCAGCAGGCTATTAGTAGAATTGCAGCCTAACAGCCTCCATCACATAGTTCCAGGTGAGCAGCGGTGTTGGTCTAAAGCAGAACAAATTGTGAGTCCAGTGGCACCTTTAAGACCAAATAAAGTTTATTCAAGGTATGAGCTTTTGTGTGCACACACACTTCCTCAGATACATTGAAATGGAAGTTAGGCATCTGCCTATATATGTGAACTTTTAACTTCCATTTTAATAGGAGGGTTTTCCAGCTCTTCTTTAACCTTCTAGAAACTGCGGGGGAGCCCCTCCTCTTTGGAGTGTGTTAAGGGCTGTTTTCCCGCTTGAGCGTTCATGAGTTCTGAGGGGAGGCACTCTCCTTTCTCTCAGATGAATAAATAGTGGCAGCCAGTGTTCCCTCTAAGCTGAGTTAGTGTGAGCTAGCTCAAAGCTTTTTAGCCTCCGGCTCACACATTTTTGTCTCGGCTCAGGAAGGATGCCTCCAGAGCAAACTAATTTATGCAGCAGCCAGTAGCTCACAAAGCAGAATTTTTGCTCACAAGACTCCACTGCTTAGAGGGAACATTGGTGGCAGCGTGTGAATGGAGCAGTGTTTGAGACCCCAGCCCATGCCGTGTCCAAGTAAGGGGTGATTATTAAAGGGGACTGGGCTACCCTGTCTGGTGGTGTCCCTGTGAGTGAGAGAGAGGACCTGGTAGGTGAAATGGTCATGGCTCTCTCTATATATTTTAAAAGAGGCAAGTCGGGTGGCAATTCTGCGACTGCCTGACCTACCTGTAACCGCAGGTCGGTAGAGGTTGGTAGGGACTGAGCGAGTGGGAGGGATGTCATACCTTCCTTTTCCTTTGTGCCATTTTCTTGACCTGAAATGGCCCCAGGAAGCCACTTTTTGCTCTGTGCAGGAATCATGTGCGTGCTAATGAGGTATGTGTCAGGTTTCCCCAAACGGGGAGAATAGCAGCTCCCCGGGAGTCTCGACAGTCTGTTCTGCCACTTCAGAGGTCTGCAGTTTCTTTTCCCTGCTTTGTTCTCCTGAAGGTATGAATTAGGCCTCTGTGCATGGGGAGATGGAACCAGAAGTAGTGTTGATGTAAAAAGGCAGAGTAAGAAAGCCATGATCCTGTGTTTGTGGTGCCCATTCTCCTAACCCATTCTTTTTGCCCCTCCAGGATTATATCCATAGCACCCACGGCAAAGAAATGGACCTGCTCCGTACCACCGTCAAGGTGCCAGGCAAGCGTCCACCACGAGCCATCTCAGCCTGTGGCGCCTCCTCCAGCATCAATGGCTTGGTGAAGGACGTGAGCAGCGTTGGCGTGGGGGACAGCAGTAAGTAATTTGTGGGTGCAGCACCTGACCCAGCAGCATACGCCACCTCTGTAACAGCCCCCCCTTGTTTCTCCATAGTCGTATTGCACAAATCGTAAGGTTTTGTGCTATGTGGCATGTAAAAGAATGCAAAAAAATGTTTTCGCTAACTTTTCGCCTTGTGCTTGCAGTCATTGGGTAGGATCCAGACTAATACATTTAATGACAGAATGCTGGAATAAATCGACTGCATAATTGGTGGTAGCCTCCAGCACTCCATGAAATGCTGCTCCTGGGGGATAGGGGACCCAGAGGAATGAGCAGGAAGGGGGAATCGGTGGAAATCACCCATGTATTCTGAATCCAACCCATCGTGTTATCCAATCTGGTTCTAATATACCCCATGCTCTCTTCTTTTGAGCCAGTCTGGTGTAGTGGTTAAGTGCGCGGACTCTAATCTGGGAGAACGGGTTTGATTCCCCACTCCTCCACTTGCAGCTGCTGGATGACCTCGGGCAAGCCGTAGTTCTGGCACAGCTGGTCTTGAAAAAGAGCAGTTTCTGTCAGAGCTCTCTCAGCCCCACCTACCTCACAGGGTGCCTGTTGTGGGGAGGGGAAGGGAAAGGAGTTTGTGAGCCGCTCTGAGACACCTCCGGGTAGTGAAGGGTGGGGTATAAATCCAATCTCTTCTTCTTCTTCGTGGAAGAGAAGGCCTTGATGCTGTCCCTTAGCCTCAGACTCCAGAGGGGGGGGGGGTCTTACAAGAGAGTCAGTCAGGTAGACAGGCATACTGTGGGTTCCTTCCTGTTTACTCTTCTGCCTCTGTCCCTTTCATACGTGGACTGATAACTCTTTTTCCAGTTCCCTGCTAGTACAACTTTGGATGCTGTCAGGGAGGATTGATCACTTAACAGACAGGGAACCTTCCAGGCCAGTAGCCAGGATTTTTTATCTTGGGGACTCTGGGGTTGGGGGGGGGGCCTTGCCGGCCAGCCGGGCAACTCTTCTCCCTGCTTGCTGGCAGGAAAAAGACTTGGTGGCCAGCAACAGAGGCCACACAGCCACCCCTTCTCTTCCCGCACCAGCCAGCTGAGCAGAGAGGGGGTTTAAACTTTAAACCCCCTCTCTGGAGTCGCGTCACAGGGGCGGCATGAATTCTCCATTGGCTTACATAGCAGAGCACTTGTGGGGAGCACAGGATGTTATGCTCTAAGGGTGCTCCAGTCATTCCTTTCTTATCCTTAAGTAAGTTCTTCTCCAAATTCGCTTTAGTCCAGCCTTTTCGGCGAGACTGCAGTCCAAGCATATTATCACGCCATTTAGATGAGAAGGTGAATGATTCAAAAGTTCCACCCATTGGTGCCATTTTCCTCTCATCAGCCCTTTGTAGCCACTGTTTTCCCTGCTGCACCACCAGAGAGCTTTGTGGTGTGTTGGGGGGGGCTTTAAAAATGGTGACCAGAGGTCATTTCGGGGGGGAACGCAGGGGAACGCAGTTCCCCTGGGTGAGGTACGGGGGGCGGGGCACATGATGAAGCCCCGCCCCCTGCTTCCGGCCGCCCCGCTTCCAGCCCTCATTCAGCCAGGAGGAGGCAGGAGAAGAGGGAGGGTAAGTTGCTTCCTCCCCGCCTCTCCCCACCCCTGCCTGCCTGGGGCCAGGGAGGGCCTTCGCGGGGCTTCCTTGCACTCCCGCTGGCCTTGCAGGTCCACCGCCGGGCCCCTGATGTCAGGGGGTGTGGCATATGCTAATGAGTTATGCTAATGAGTTCCCCTAGCTCTTTTTCTATGAAATGACCCCTGATGGTGACTATAGTGCTATAGCAGTTACCAGTTGTTTTAAAGCCCTCTGGTGGTGCAGTGGGGGGGAAATGCCAGGAAAAGGGTGGTGGTAAGGGGGAGAAGGAGCAAAATTCATAGAAAACTCCCATGTGGAATTTCTGTTTTAAATGTACGTACCGCTGCACTTGCAGCAGCAAAGAAACAGAGAATCTCTACCAATGATAGAAGCAGCTATGCATTATTTTTTATTTAAATTGACCCATCCCATTTTCCCCATAAAAAACAAATTCAGCTGCTTTTTATGTAAGCCCCGTGCAGATGACCTGTCCTTGCTTTGACTGCCTGTGTGGGGAGGAAGAGCAGGCATGAGCCTGCAGGCTTCTCCCCCCCCCCCTCCACAGGATCGCCAAGTCACCTGCACAGGACGAATGTGCAGAGGAATGGTCTGTGCATATGCTCCTTCCCTGTGCTCAGCGACACTGCTGGTCCTGTGGTTGATTGCAGGGAGGGAGCATGTATGTGGACACTGGCTTGGTGCATTTGTACTGTGCTGATGACTTAGTGGGAGCGGGGGACAGGGCCAGTCCTCTCGTCCCCACTGTCCCTCCCCACACGGGCATTCAGCATTTAGGTGGGTCCTCTACACACGGCTATTATCAGTGGAGACCAAACGCAGCGCAAAAAGGAAGATCCGTAGCCTTCTTTAAAGAGAAGTAAATATTCACAGGCCTCCCTGTGCTTTTACTCCAGAATGACACTTATGGGAGTACTTAAGGGAGAACAAACACAGCCGCCATTACTTTTTATGCAGTTGCTAAGTGGAAATGTGTAAGCCACAATTCTCACATTAGCACTGTGGTGCTTTCCCCGTACGAAACGCCATGAGAGAACATTTATTTATGTGTTATGGTACATTTCTGTGTTGTGTGCTCTGTTTTATAAAAATTTATGACATGATTTAGCACAGTAAAACTGCCACACTTATTAGCAGTTCATTATGGAAATGGATACTAGGTAGCAAAGATTAAAAGTATACTAAGACAGCAGCTAGGAGAACAAATAAAAACCCACTTCCTAGACATGGGAAGTCCTCCCACCAGTGAGTGACCCATCTGTCTTCCACAGAATCTGCCTAGTGACTAGCGGAATACAGAAGATATCATGGCAACCTTTGGGACCTCCTGTACTTAAGCCGAGTGGGTGGATGGGGTGGCATCAGCCGCACCGAGGCATGGTCTAAAGAATTTTCAAGTGTTCCTTACGATCTCGAAGGAATACTGCACAGTGTTTATGGGTGTGTGTAGGATGTGTGTGTAATTACTGTTTGTTAGTTCACACTCCGATCGGTTGTGTTCCCTTCATTTATAATTCTCTGTGAAATTATAGTCACTTGGAGGAGGGAGGGAGAGTGTTCCCACCTTCGCGCCTCGCACCACGATGCGGCTGTGGTCTCGCTTTTCGTTTAACCTTAATTAGTGCAGAGCCATGCTGAGCGTAACAGAATTACGAAAAATCAACAGACAGAGTAAACCATGGGCTGCTTGAAACTTGACATATTTCCTATATGGAAAGCATTTCCATGTAATTGCAACCAGAGTGTAAAATGCTGTGTGTGACACTGTTGAACACAACCGTTCCACTGCGGGCACACATGCTAGAAAGTCCTTTTTGGTCAAATTGCGTATAATACATATATACCACAAGTAACACGGCATTACATGTCCAGTCTATGTGTGTATGATTACCACACATGGCAATCTGTGTGCAAGCATGACTTCTTGTTTTCTTAAAACGTTTTCCTGATTTGTCACTGATGTAGGCACAAAGGCCAAACAAGGTCCCCACCCACCCCTACCACCACCAGAACCCAGGGGTAATAATGAGGAACAAAAAAGTAGAAATCCCCAAGTTCATGACAGTGACCTATATGAACATGAAGTAGTCATAAATAGAAAGCAAGTAATTACCGAAGAACTCGTCAGTAAATACAATCAAACACTTGAAATGCATATACCAACAGATCTGCGCTTCAAATGTCAAATGACTGACATGGGGGAAAAACCCGAACGTGATGTCAGAGGGTTCAAGTGCCCATGAATGCATGAGAGATATTTGCCAGTGATATACAGGCAGTGTCTCCCAAAGGTACAATTCAGTCCCAGTGGAATACCATTCCATTGTTCTGTCTTGGATTATTCTTATTCATAAAAAATATGTATCAGCTCAATCTTTATCCCACTCTTCCTACAAGGAGCTCATGGCGGCATATACAGCTGCCCCCTCCTCCTTTAGAACATAAGAACATAAGAGATGCCAATGTTGGATCAGGCCAAAGGCCCATCCAGTCCAACACTCTGTATCACACAGTGGCCAGAAATACCAGTGCCATCAGGAGGTCCACCAGTGGGGCCAGGACATTAGAAGCCCTCCCACTGTTGACCCCCCCCCAAGCACCAAGATGACAGAGCATCACTTGCCCCAGAGCCCCTATCTATACCTTGTGGCTAATAGCCACTGATGGACCTCTGCTCCATATGCTTATCTAATTCCCTTTTGAAGCCGTCCATGCTTGTAGCCGCCACCACTTCCTGTGGCAGTGAATTCCAAGTGTTAGTCACTCTTTGGGTGAAGAAGTACTTCCTTTTATCCGTTCTAACCCGACCGCTCAGCAATTTCATGGAGTGCCCACGAGTTCTTGTATTGTGAGAAAGGGAGAAAAGTACCTCTTTCTCTACCTGCTCTTTCCCATGCATAATCTTATAAACCTCGATCATGTCACCCCTCAGTCGTCGTTTCTCCAAGCTAAAGAGCCCTAAGCGCCTTAACCTTTCCTCATAGGTCCTCATAAAACGACCCTCTGAGGGGGGGAACAGGCTGGGAGAGGATGACTGGCCCAACATCACTCAGTGAGTTTCTTATGACTGGTGGGGGATATGAACCTCGTTCTCCTCAGTCTGATTCCATCACGCCAGCCACTGCGCCAAGCATGCTGTAAAGGCAGCAAATTGGGGCAGTTTGTTCATAGATGCTCTTATCATTACAGCTAATTAAATGCACGACCCTTTGAGAGTTCCTGTACCTGCAGGTCCGACTGCACCCCTCGCCCTTCCACACAAGCAAGCCGGTTCTATAGAAAAAGAAACTGAATGAATCGGATGCATGTTGGCTTTGGGCAATTTTGCTTACCTTGTTAAACAAAATCAAATCTTGTACAGAAATTCCCTGCGGTGCCATGCGGAATTGGTGCATTCACTAAAGCAAGCAAACCTTGGATTCACAAACCTCGAGAGCGTGTGTTTTGGGACATCTTTTGTGTAAGATGATTCAACAGTGACCTCTAGAGGAGTCCTTGTATTTCCTAGAATGTCTCTTGTCTGTGGAGATGCTCTGGTCTCCACTTGGGGAAGAATAAAGAGCCACATTCTAGGGGCAAGAAATTAGTAGGATACTTGCATCGCTTGATGCCCCACCTCACCCGAGCACATGCTTTGGCCACTGAAGGCCTCATGTTCAGTCCCTGTCATCTCCAGTTAAAGGATCTTGAATGCTAGGTCCTGGGAAAGTCGTTTCCCTGCCTGTGATCTTAGAGCATCAAGATCCAACATGGCACCCATGGATCCATGTTCCTGGAACCTAACTTGCGGCTTGAAGCTTGGGTATAAAATTCAAAGGCTCCTGAAAATAACAGAGAAGAACAAGAAGATTCAGGTCACTCCCTGCCAACTGACTGAGTGGCAAAGTCCTGAGCTCACCCCAACTAGTCAAGTCATAGACACAAACATCCTGAAGTCTCCAAATTTGGCAGTCTCTCTATGTGTGGATGTCAGTAGAGAAAAAGTTCCCCTTTTTTTGGGGGGGAGATATAAAGTCAGACACCAAAGCAGAGAGCTAGTTCTACCCTCAATGGCAGCCATTTTGTGATGGTCCCTGCTTGAATGGCAGCCATTTTGTGGTTGTGCCCACTGCCATTTCTAGGAAGTCCAAAACTGCAGGGTCCCCTGTGTGCGACGGAGAGAGAGAGATTGTCAGTCAGGGTTGTTGTTGTTCAGTCGCACAGTCAGGTCCGACTCTTCGCGGCCCCCTGGACCAGATCACGCCAGGCCTTCCGGTCTTCCGCTGTCCTCTGAAGTTGGCTCAACTTCATGTTCGTTGCATCTATGACACTGTCTAACCATCTCATCCTTTGCCGTCCCCGTCTTCTTTGACCTTCAATCTTTCCCAGCATCAGGGTCTTCTCCAGTGAGTGCTCCCTTCTCATTGGGTGGCCAAAGTATTTGAGCTTCAGTTTCATTATCTGGCCTTCCGGGGAACAGTCAGGGTTGATTTCTTTTAGGATTGACTGATTTGATCTTCTTGCAGTCCAAGAGACTCTCAAGAGTCTTCTCCAGCACCATAGTTCAAAAGAATCTATTCTTCGGCGCTCGGTCAGGGTAGGCAATGTAAAACTAGATAGAACATTGATGTGACAATGGCAGCCTTCATAGAGGCATACGCGTCTCTCCACAGCTAGCCCCAGTCCAGGTCTGCTGAATCCTCCAACTGACCAAGCAATCAAGCTCTTAGGCAAACCGGACCGGAGCCTGCAGCGCTCTGTCTCCTCCTCCAAGGCTGGTAAGTTCAGAATGGGTCCAGATGCTCCTAGAGGGAGAAGAAAGGATGCCAGGGTGGGTTAGGCCCTCGTGACCCACGAAGAAGATTGCCCACCACGTGATCTGTTCCTCCCGTATGTGTCTGCAGAGGCAGTCCTGGCTGCAGAAGGGTTGTCCAGTCCTGGCAGCAGTGGCAAAGACCCACCCCCATCCCCCATGGTGGACAGAAAGAAACACAGACGGAAGAAGCTTGCAACACCTTCCAAAACCGAGGGCTCAGTGGGGCAGGCAGAAGGTAAGACTGACATAGTGCCCCTTAAAGCTGAGGTAGCCCCCTTTTTAGCCTATAAAGGAGACGACATATGACACTACTGTTTGTCCCTCCAAGATTATTGCAGAAAACAAGAGAGGCCCAGAATGCCTTTTCTAGAGAAACTTCAGTTGCTTTAAAAAAATATGCCACCCCTCTACAGTGATCTTGCACTGAGTCCAAATTACACGGTGTGTTTAGAGATAACATTCCCATCTTTTCTTGTGAAAGGGAGGCTGTGGTTCCAAATGGGAATCAGTGGCAGTTTGCAACTGACAAAGTGAAATTTTAATGCCACGCATATTTTTGAGAACAGGGGAGAGGTGGTTCCACCACATCATTTGGAGTAAACGATCACATCCCGTGGGACAGAAATTCCGGTTTATATTTGTTGCTCATGTGGGAAACATCTTCTGGGGACACAGTTGCTCCTGACTCCTTTCCACCATACAGATTTCTTCCGGTCTGAATTGGGCCCTTTGTGGAGTGGGGCGGGAGATGAGGTGAGCCAGGGCCTCGGTGCAATAGAGCATTTGTGCAGATGCCTGTCTCACAATATGTGTTACCTGCATGGGGTGTGTGAATCAGTACTGTTTAACTTAAAGAAGGGGACTGTTCTGAGGTATGTTAAAAAGCTATAGTGGTGGTGTCTGAGTTGAAAAATCCACATATCGCCCACACCCACACTCTTCAACATGGGAGCACTGAAACCCCATTGAAATGAACAGGAAATGTACAGTAGCCTTCCTCTAGCTCCCATTATTTTCAGTGGGACTTGCCCTAGGGAACTTCTCAGTGGATTCTGCCTTCTGAGTCAGATCTGTCTCTATCACCTATCACCATTATTGGCATTCAACAGCTACTGAACTGACTGACAGTAGGAATGCCCCTGACAGTTGCCCCCGTGTTACTTTTTTTGCAATAACCATGTTACATTTTTTGCAATACCGCCCAAAAGACAGCCCCTCCCCCCCCCAAAAAAAACCCACGAGCTAGACTCCAGGAGATGTTGTTGATCTTACAGGAGGCCTATATTGCTTTCAGCTTGTCTGGCCTCAGGCATGCAAAGCGAGACCAAAGGAAACAGCCTGAGTGCTGGCGTGGCATAGTTACGGGCTGCAGACAGGCCTGTAGAAAAAGTGTCCTAACCTTTTAATAGAGGCTTCAGAATATGTTATTTATACCAGGTGATGTTGTTTAGCTCCCTGCCATGAAAAGCTTCTCCTGTCCATTTCTACACATTAAGCCACTATTAAAGAGACAGGTCGTATTTTTCCTCCAGGTTGCTGGCAAAGCTAAATAAAAAGGCTGAGCACCCAACCAGAAAGTCTCCTGGTTTGAATCTTACCTCTGCCATGAATTCAGTTGTGTGGTTTTAGGCAAGTCACTCTAGGATCAAACAGATGAGGCAAAGATCACAGAACTGTCCATAAAATGCAAATTGCAGCCTCAGTTAGCCTTGGGGACCATGCAGGGAAGCAAGAGGTGGGTTAACCCTTCAATCTCAGCTCAGTTTTGCTATTTGAAACTGGGCTGCCTGTTTTGTTATTAGTATGGGGGGGATAAAAGGCATATCTTTTCTCATTTAAAATGCTAACAGTAGAATGGCGGGAACTGGTTTGGAATAGTGAAAGCAAGTGGAAGGGTTAAATCCCCCTCTCTCTTCTGTGTATGGCCTGTAGACAGAAAAAGAGGTGTGATCGGAACAAGACAAAAGCAATCTTTGCCTTATCTTTCTGAATCCTCTAGCTCAGTTTAAGCCCCATAAATTGCAATAATGGAAGGACTAATATATGTAAAATTATTTGGATTCTTGAAAAGGGCTTTACAAATCCTAATTATCATGGGGGGGGGAATGCTGTGAGAGATGCCATGACCACTGTAGGCAGAATGAGGAAGGTGTACTGATGGGAGGGAAGGTCTGTGGAAGGCCACATCTGTCCCCTTCTAAATCCAGACAGGACTATGTGCAGTCCAAATGAGCTGCCCACCCCCACCCCTTCCTGCCTGTCATGTCTTCTCTAGGCAGCTGTTGTGTCCAGCCCAAAGCTGTTCATCTCTGTTGTGAATACAGCTGCCCAGAATGCTCCCTTGCAATTCCTTCACCCGGTAAAGGGTTGCCACGGCACTCACGGCTTTCTTCCTCACTGTCCTTCGCAGTGCTTCACTCATCCACCACCACTGCCACCCCCGTTCCCTGGGTCTGTGGGTTCTGATAGCCTCTGCTTTTTTATTATTTTTTTCCTCCTCTGAATTCTCTCCCCTTCTTCTTTTCCTCCCTTCTCTTTCTCTGCCTTTCGCTTCCTGCTTCCCCTCCGGACCCTCTGCAGCCAAGCGTAAAATGTGGAAATTAAAAACCTTTGGTAGTTTAAGAAATATTTATAAAACAGGTAATGTCTGGCGGTGGCAGGCGCGAGCTCCTTTGTGCCGTGGCACCCGTTGCATGCAGTTGTGCTTACATTGTGACGTGTGGCCTTCATAAATGTCTGTCTCCAAAACTCCCCCCCCCCCGCCCGGTGAGCAACATAATGTCCACTGTATCCTGGCCGTTGCAGAACAATCCTCCAGCCAACATGGGGTGCTAAAGATCCCTCTGTTCACACAATGGGTAGGGCTGCCAGGCCATGTCGGGCAACTGCTGGAAGATTGGGGGTGGGGACATGGGCACGGCTGGTGTCACATATGCCATGATGTCACTCTAAGACCCACTGGAAACTTTTCTGGCAATTCCTAGAGCAATGTGATATCACTTCCAGGTGTTTTTCGGGGGTGGGGGGATGGCAGTTACATAGGTAGTTCTAAGAGCTACAGGAAATATAATTATCAGTAATAGCTTTAGGAATCACTGGAAATGTTCTGGTTTTACCATAGAGTTTCTGGTGATTTCCAGAGCTACCTTATGTCACTTCCAGGTCTTTTTTTTACCAGAAGTGATACAACCCCACAGCCAGCATGGGGAGGGGGATGTCCTGCCCCAACTGGGGGCTTGGCGGCCCTAGGGGTACCTGGGAAGCCTAACAAAGGGGTATGCAATGGAGGCAATCATCCCAGTATTCCCTGATGGCTTTCAAATGGCATTCCAGTGAACTTTGGAGATATTTGGTGAGAAGATCGGTAACCACAGAAAGCTGGACTACCATTAACCATCCTCCAGTGATCAGGCATTGGGGTGTATTCAAAGTCTATGCAGGACTACATGGAATGTATGCGCGGCAGAAACCCAACCGGTGCAGCTTCTGCCATCATTGCATCATCATGCTGGAAAAAGCTTTACCTGTGACTTTTTGTTTCTTATGCAACCGTTAAAGGCCTTGGGACTTCTGTCCATTAAGGTTGCAGCATTCAATGGGGAAAGTTGAACCTGAGAAACTGGTGGAAAGTACAGAAGTCCAGTTGCTGGAGTAACATGAGGTTATGCCTGCTCCCCACCCCCACCCCACCCCAGTCCTCACTTAAAGGTTCCAAAAGAGAGTAGAATGTCAAGTGAGTAACAGAGCTGATGGCAGTATAATGGAGGCATTATTTCACTGCTGCTGCTTTTTCTCATAATTGTTTATGTGTAAAGTGCCAGCCTCTGCACCTATAGTGAAATCCACACAATGGTGTGCCAGCCACAGCTATGAATGAGGCCTCTGCAAATCCAGAGGAAAACCCATGTTTCCAGAACAATCTAACATTGTAAGAAACAAACCTACACATGCACAGAAAAACGGGGAATAAAAGTCCTCAAACAACATTACCAATGAAACATGCATGTGATCAGACGATGGGAGGAAAAGACCAGTCAAATGACATTCGGGCACCATTTTGGTTTCCAATGGTAACCACAACACACTCCGAGGAGTCGGCCGCAGGATTTCATGTGGGGCTTTGGACATGGTGGCCAAGACGGGGAGGAGGAGGAGGAGGCGGGAACACTGAACAGGAAGAAGGGAGGAGACAGCCAACAGGGGGAGGGGGGGGCTGAAGGGGGAAATGGGACTTCCACTCCAGCATGATTCAGCCCAGGTCTCTCACTTGTTGCTTATGTATACTTTAATGCTGCTGGAAGCCACCACGAACGCCCCACTGTGTCTTTCTTTTAAAATAAGTTAGCGTCCCATCATGCTCCACTGTCAGCCTTGGTCAAACAAGTTTGAGAGTTTTCTAAACACTACAAAAAAACCCGCAAACCTGTTTTCCTAAAGATGACAGTGGGGGGGGGGGCAACAAGTGAGAAATGATGCCTCTGTCATACAGTCTGCAACACTCTGGGGAAATTATTGCCTGCCTCCAGTGTATCCAAAGCAGTTCATGCCGGGACTCAAAATAAAAAGCTTCCCCCGCTGAAAGTCGCCTGCTTCCCACTGGAAAGGAAGCCCCGATGACTGTTGCTCACCCACTCAGGCCTGTCTGTGTCTCTCTGATCTTGCCAGCAGAAGCTGCTCCCCTCCCCCTTCCTTCTCCTGCTAAATCATTCAGTGGGGAAAGGACAGACGCTAACAGTGCAGTCCTTACAACCTTCTAAGCCCATTGAGGCCAGTAAGCTTAGAAGACCGCAACTCCGGGACTGCACTGTATGTATGCCAGCGGTGGTGGGCCCCTTGGATTGGACCCCTTGTCAGAGATGCCATCTTGGTCAGTTCTCAAGTGCCAAAGCAAGGCAAGGGTGGTCCTGGGCAATGTTCCCTCTAAGCTGTGGGGTCTTGTGAGCAAAAATTCTACTTTGTGAGCTACTGGCATTAAAATTGTGAGCAAGCAATATGGCTACTGCATAAATTAGCTAGCTCTGGAGCCATCCTCCCTGAGCTAAGACAAAAAATGTGTGAGCCGGAGGCTGAAAATTTGGGAGCTAGCTCACACTAACTCAGCTTAGAGGGAACACTGGTCCTGGGGTAAAAGAGATGGTCATACCTTTGCCACAGAGCTCTTGTGTGGCTTTGGCGCCCAGTCTCGGCGCCTCATCTGTAACCTGAACAAGAGCTGCCCAGACCACAGTGCCGTAGTCACGTCAAGCACAACTCACACACAAGACTGTAAAGCCCTCTGCAGAGTAAAAGTGAAGGGACTGTAAATGTAGTTGAGGGATTGCTACATGCAGATGAGCGACAGTGGGATTCCTGCCCCGGAAAAAGTGGGGACCCAGTAAATTGGTCTTGGGATCTGCTTATAGGGGTACAGCATCCTCAGAGGAACTGCATCTCCCTTTTCTGCCACCTCTGCGGAAACATTGTCGGACAGATCATGGGCATCCCCTACCCCCCCCCCCGCTTG